TTGTGCGCGCGCGTTCTCGCTCTCTCTCTCTGTGCGTCTTGAGTTGCTCGTATCGGCACAAGACCACGGCAAGCAACCTACCTCTCCTCCAGGGTCCGTTCAACGTCTTCAAGGACAACGCATAATTCCTCACCCAGCCTGACCGTTTCACTGCTCAAGCGACTGAAACGCGGGAACTCACGAGAGAACTCTTGCAGTGGGATTTCCATCGCGGGGCTAATAATAGCAGACTAGACCGCTTCGAGCGACATTGCTCTTCGTGAGGTGGGCTGTGTCTGCGACCGACGACGACACTGCGCCTCCTTCACACTCACCAGCCCCAGCAGTCAAGCCAGTCAAGAGAGTACATTGCGCGTTCCTGGCGGACTTTGGACCATTCAGCGGTCGTGCCTGTTTCTTGGTGTCGTTGACTTCTCCACGCGGGCCCAAGCGCGGCTCTCAGGGCTCACTCCCTCCACATCCCACCTATTGTTAGGAACGCGAATACCTACATCATGGACATCCAGCAACGGGGGCGCTCCCCCTCAGCTGGCCAGCATGCTCATAAAGACCACTCCCCCTCCCCCGCCTCACAGCCGCCATTCCAGCATCAGCCCAACGCCGTCTTGGGCTTCGACGCCATCCAGGACCCTTCCTCCTACGCCGTCACAAGCGCGGGGTTGAGCAACCCACAGTTCCTCACTGCAAGCCAGGGCCAGTCCTTCTCCCAGCAAACCGCCTTTTCCGATCCAAGCTTCCTGCAGGCCTCGCAGAGTCTCTCGCAAAGCAACACACCGCATTTTGGCCCCCAAGGCAGCAATAACAACATCTCGCCTGACCCCCTCGATCTAGCAAACACAAACAACCCCGACTTCAACAACTTCTTCCAGACAAACGACCTTGGGCAAAACCCGTCCTTGTCTTCGTACCTTGGCCAGACGCTTGATCCTCACATTCTCGACACGCAGTCGCAGCAGAATCAGTCCGTCAACCCTTCAGATCTCATGCATCAGATGGCAGCCGCACCGCATAACGCGCCGACACCACCCCACCTTCTTCCCAACATGAACAATCACCAAGGCTCAAGTCCGCATGCTTCGCCCAACATGGCTCACGGTGCATTCCGATCCCCAGGTCATTCGCGACACACGTCGCTTGACCCCAGCGCAGCTTACGGACAAACTTCAGAATGGGGTCAGATGGCGAGTGCAAGCTTCGGAGGACCTAGGTCCAGAGGAGGCAGTGACGCTGGCTACTCAGATGTCGCATCTTCGGCGCACAACTCGCCATACTTACACCAGCATGATAGCTTCGATAACGACCAGCCGTCACCTCTCCTTCACGCGCAACATGACCCGCAGCTATTTCAGGACCCCGTTCCTGGGTTTGACCGATTCAACCTGAACAACAGCAATGCGCACATCAGCGCCTCAAACACCCCCAATATCTCACCTCGTCTGCTGCCCCAGAATCAACAGGCTCTGCCACAGTTCCAGCCGGATACATTTGGCCTCAACCGAAGCATGAACCCCTATGCGCCTCAAGGTGTGAATGGCTTCTCTAGCCAGAACTCGGAGCCATTCCCATTACTGAACCAGCCTATGCCTGAATTTGGCCAAGCAGATGCAATGTCACCACCAGAAATCAACATTGACTTCGCACCGCCCTCACGACAAGCAAGCTTCGAGCCACCAAAAGCTGAACCCCAGTTGGATGCATTGAGCCCGCCCGACCGATGTAAGTAGCTTAAGTTGCATTGTATGAGTTATGCTAACACCACGACAGCACGTAGTCGGAACAGGTCTCGTGCCAAATCTGACCCTTTCAGCAGTGTCAGCTCGCGCGCTTCTACTCCTGGCTCGGGCGTTCATCGATCACTTTCTCCCAATGCTGCAAAGTCTCGTTCCCCTTCACCCTCTGGAAAATCGTCCCGCCGATCGTCCACATCGAGCATGCCCAATCGCGACTACATCTTAGACCTCGCAGACCCCACGCGACCCGCGCCTGCCGATGGCTCGAACCCTAAGCGTACGCAAAAACACCCAGCGACGTTTCAGTGTACTCTGTGCCCAAAGCGCTTTACACGAGCATACAATCTCCGATCGCATCTACGCACACATACAGACGAGCGCCCTTTTGTTTGCAGTGTTTGCGGCAAGGCGTTTGCGCGCCAGCACGACCGAAAGAGACACGAGGGTCTCCACTCTGGAGAGAAGAAGTTTGTCTGCCGTGGTAACCTCAAGGACGGCAACAGCTGGGGCTGCGGCAGGCGCTTCGCCCGCGCAGATGCTCTTGGTCGGCACTTCCGGTCCGAAGCAGGTCGTGTTTGTATTCGACCTTTGCTGGAAGAAGAAGCACGCGAGAAGGGTGAATGGAACGGTCAGAATCAGCAGATGAACAATGGCAATGGCATGTTTGCACCGATGCCCGCTCAAAACTTCAACAGTATGATGCCTGGACAGCCTGGCTTTGAGCCATTCCCCCAGGCTGGTGGTATGCAGGCGCCACAGCCATTCTTGCCTGCCGCTCTTCTGGCGCAATACCCTGCGCTCGCAGGTATCCAGTGGGATCAGCTTCCTGCTGGACCGCCTGACGAAGATGGTGACATTAGCGGGCGCAGTAGCTTCGATGCTTCGAGTGGAGGAGAGTATTTCGAGGAGGAAAACGACTATCAGCAGAGTAACCAACAGCCCATGTATGCAGGCAACAACAATGGGTGGGTGAGCGACTCTTATGATGGCCGATGATGTTCTTCAACTCTACGACTTGTTACACGTTCCTCCTTTCAGGGTGGATCTTTTGACCGTATTTGTCACACGTTTATGACCTGGATTTTCTTTGCTGCGTTACCGCCTTTTCTGTCGCTTCCTTGTATGTACTGCGCTTATATACCACTTTCATTGCTTCATGGCGCGAAAGCAGGGTTGACTTATACCCCTTTGGGCTTGGGATTGAACAACATCTGGGAGTTTTACCTAAGGCGATGTGGAAGGTGCTGTTTTTTTCTTTCGTCTAGATGATTGCAGATACCATACACGAAATGTACCTTTGGGCGTTTGCACTGTACCCGTAGTAAATGTGATATGTTAGCCGCAACAGTCAGAGACAATGAGCGCACAAAGCAAGTCACGTGTGGCTTGCTAAGGCGTAGAAAAAAAGTTTAAAAATGTGCACTTTCTTTTTCCACTTGTCATGTTGCTTCTCCTCGATGTGACTACAACAAAAAAGATGTTCGCTTGTGCTATCAACAGCGCTCCGTAAGCCGAGCAAAATGAAAGGCAGTGCCATACCTCCACCTCCCCCCACCCGAAGCCACAGAAAAGAAGATGGCAACTACACACGCGAAGCCATAGCAGAAGCACCATCAAAGAAAAAAAAGGCAAAAAGGATGCAAAGGGCCTGACCGGGATTCGAACCCGGGGCCTGTCACATAACAGATACACTGTATCCAGGTAGAAAAACCCCTAGATGGTTGTTAGGACGATGTTGGTTGGATGTTGGTGGCGGCGGGGCAAGCTTACGAAGCGACAATCATACCACTAGACCATCAGGCCGATGCTCTTCATCTGATTTGATGGCAAATTTCTGAGTAGTATCGTTCTTGACCTTGGTAGAATTCCATAAAGGATACAGGAAGCTTGGCGGGGTTGATGGTGGGTGGGCGTTTGTGGTGGGGCATCTGTATGTTAGTCAGGGCAGTGGGACGTGCTATTCATGTTGACCAGCCTCACTTTACTTGTTTGGGCAGACCTTGCGACCTTCCAAGAATCCAGAAGATGTTGGTCGACAGGAACAGTCTGTGCAGACGCCTTGTCCAAGGTAGTGTCGCCGGAGTTTGTCCCTTTGATCGCATGGTCCCAACAAACACCCAATAGCCAGCAGTCAGGAGGCAGATAAGTACACGTACAGAAAGACGACACGCAAGCATGCAAGATACCATCATGCTGCCGTCATGATTAGGCCAGTCAGAAGCGCCGACAGAATGACCGCTGTCGAACGTCTTTGGTGGGGAGCTGCCATAGGCTGGTGGTGATGGTGCAACTGCACGCCTCATTCGCGCCCCAAAGTGTCACGCAAGGCTTGTGTCGACTAGGTGGAGAGCCGATCGTAGAGGCACAAGTCGTACACTGTGCATGGTTGCGGGAAGGAGCCGACATCGCTAGGCCTATGGCGATCCCCCCTGTTGACTGTGCGTCCACCAAGGCCCTACACCGACATTTTCGAAGCATCCTGATGAGGCGACAAGAGAGACGGCATAGCGGACGCAGGTCCGCGTCTTGGGCGTTTTGAAGCGTTTGGCCACGACCCCTCATTTTTTTGATGCGAAACTCAGATGACATGTCGGTGACCTGAGATGGTTCGTGACAAGCACGCGTTCGCTGCAACCCAAAAAAAGTGCGGGGAGACGTGCTGCGCATAGTATAGTAGTGGGGCGCGCCCATTGGCTCGGGAGCGCCCTTATGCCCCTTCGGCTCTAGCCCGTACCGCTCAGCTCCACTCGACAATGCAACCCATACAACACGCGCCTCGGAGTCCGTCGTTGCATCCCCGAACAATCCACTCGTTATGAAGTGAACAGACAGAGGGGCTGTACTGAGTCGCCCGACAACACACTGACCGCCTTGTGCAGAGTAAGAGTAATCCAGACCCTCTGGGCCAAGAACATCTGACCATGTGAGGCGACTTGGGCGAGGCTGCGCGGGTTAAAGGGCCAGCTTCCCCTCATCCATCGCGACCACCCTCTCAGCTGCCATCCTACCTGTCAACGCCTGCCTATACCTTACTGCCGGATAGCCTGATAGCACTTGCATACTCCGAGAAACTCCGGGACGTGCTGACGTTTACCAATCCCCCCCAACCTTATCTCTTCCCAATCTAGACTGTGGGCTACGACCAAACCGTCCTCTTTCCGCTCTTACCCAATCACTATATCTGCTGCTTCGCTCTCAATTGCGCTGCACCTCCTACTCTTTCCTTCCCCTCTTCCAACACCATACCACATCACTTCACATCACCTCACAATGGCCGCATCAAAACCTAGCATCCGCGCCCTCAGCGCTCTTGCTGCGGGTCCCCGCCTTCTCGGACCCCGCCTTACAGTCCGACAATTGTCCATGACTGGCTCGACATCATCTTCCTCCCTTCTCACAACCGACAAGCCATACGGCTCAAATCGCTCTCGCGGTCCAATTCGCCTCTCTGGCGAGCACTCCGCCGCTGTGTCTGAAGCCACTGAGTCGGGCAACAATGTCCGCCGCTTCAACACTTCCAGGAGTAGGAAGTCAGTTGGCGACAGCAGCACTCTGGACTTTGCCTACATTCCCGGCTTCGACCCGGAGACCAGGAGCGCCCCTCTGGGTATCAGGGTCCCCATCTTGCCATGGGCTGACGTCCAGGGTCACTCTGCCGAGAGCGAGGGTGTGGTACGTTTATCCCATTTCTACTAAACACACGGAACATAGAACTGACTTGAGATACGTGTAGGTGCCCATGCAGCCCACCATCTACGCTGTTGGCAGTGACGCCACACACATCCACTCTCCCTCGGCCATGTCTGACACTACCGACAACAACTCATTTGGCTACCAGAGCATCGCCAACAGCGTCGCCAGCAAATTCTCAGCCACCCGCCAGGAGGGTGAGGGCATGGCCAGGCAAATTTGGAATGACCTTGTAGACGACATCATGGGTCCTAAACGTGGTTCCACCAGGGCTTAAGCGCCGGACTGGAGGGGGGTTTGACATGCACATAAAAATTACTTCTTTTTTTGTTACTTGTTACTACTACGACATTCAAAAACAACAACTGAGTATGTCTATGTGTGTGCATGACACGACTTTGTGTTCTACATGGGTGAAAGTATGGAGGGATGCCTCTTTTGGCAAGGGACAAGGTTTCAAACGGATCTGGCGCGAAGTGCTCGGGCATATGAGATCACGACATTACTACTACTTTAATTGAATTACTTTTTTTCCCGCACTATTACAAGAACAATATGCTGCCTTTCTGACGTGTTCATACATATGACGTGTCGCCTTTACATTCAATTGACTAATGTAACTGTTCTATTGTGTGGTCCCCTTGTCTCTTGTCTCATACAGGGAATACTCCCTGAAGTAGCAGACGCAAAAAGACCTATCTTGACCGATCGTCCTAACAACAGGGCTCCCGTGTCCTTGAACGAGTGAGTTGTTCATATGACCCGGTAGGATTCAGGAATCGGAGTCTGAAAGATACGAAACACCAAGTGGGAGGTTTCAATCGGGTTGGGGGGCTGCCTGGTGTCTCCACGGATGTTTGGACTGTTCGAGCGAAATTGAGATGTTGAAGTGGAACGCTGAGTGGTAAAAGGCTTAAACGAGTATTCCCGATTGGGATAAGGGATTGGTACTTATCGGGACAAAAAGAGCCCCTTGAATGATCGAAAAGATAGAGAAAAAAGAAAAGAACATGCAACGCATTTGAAGCAGTCTACCTTTAACGGAACTTTCCCTTCACCTCTTTCCCTACGACCTTCTACACCATCACTAGGCGTAGCCCCCCCTTCCCGCCGAATTGCACGACACCAATGCATTGAGAGATGACGGTATTCGTCTTCATTCGGCGCATTTTCCAAGTTTTCAAGTTACTAGAATAGGCAGTGTCGATGTATGCAGAACTCGCCGATGGCTGTTTATCATCGGGATAAATGTCAGAAACGCCCCGACGGCGGGATGCCCGATGTGAGTATGATTCTTCTTAGCAAAGGGAGAAACACGCCGAAGAGGGGGGGTGGGGATTCGGTGGGTTTTACTTGTTTTGAGTGGATGGATTGGGGGTATAAGGCACAATGGGGGAGTGGTAGGGGAGTGACTGTGTGTATTATCAAAGCGTGCGACTAGAGGCTGTCAGTTGAGGTGATGGTAGGAAAACGTAATTACGTATCTGGTCTCAACGGAGATGCCGTATCGTAAAGAGTGAGTGGGGTTGAGTCGGTGTTCGCTGGAAGGAGTAATTCAGTTTGCGGTCTGTGGTCGGACCAGAACCAAGATGAGAATGGTCCGTGTGTGACGATTATAAAAAGCCATTGACTTGTACAATGACACGTTACTCTTCTGCTGTTGTTCAGCGCCTCTGAGTACTACGAAATGTGTCGGATTGAAACACTTTACAGTATGCTTAAGAGTAGGGAAGAAATTTGTGGCAAGTCGTAATTGAATTCAAATTCTTCCTCATACTGCGTGGCAGTTGAAGAGAGAGAGAAAAGACGTGGTACAGGTGAGCGGATATCTGAACAAGGTGTACAAGAAATGAATATCGCGAATCAGTATTTCTCATGTCAACTCGACAACAATGAGCATCTTACCTTACACTAAAGATGCGCGCGGCTATGGTGGGGCATTATGGTAGTCGGAGCATTGCGTCTGTAAGAGCTAGCTTCGGACGAAAGGGCCCTATTACTAGCCAACAACCTATCACATAATTCGATCGGGGAACGCAAGATCAACAATCCCATAGAATAACCTTCTGAACCCCGCAAAGAAAAAAAAAGGCATCGCTGATCTTACTGCGATTCTCAATAGCCGCCTGGCGCTAGCTGTAGGGTCTGGAATCCCCAGTTCCCACCCCCACACAAACGTCATTCGCTTCGTCCGAGGCCAAACAACCAAACTGGTGCCTTGCGCATAACTGCCACATTTCACAATCCGCTTCGCACTCCACAATCGCATTCCTTCCTGTCGCATATTTAAAGCACCATTTGCTTTCTTCTGTCCTTCTACTCCCCCAAAACCCAATACATACCGCTGTGCATGCTATAATAAAAAAACATGGAAAAGCTCCGAGGCGCCGAAACCGTTGCGACGCAACGTCTCCGCAAAACATTCAAGTACCCCTCTGAATCCGACGACGAAGATGCCGTAGAAGCAGGAATGGATGAACAAGGCACTTACTTCCGCATCCACCCTATCCCAAACCCAGGTGTACTAACTGCAAAAAAACCAAACAAATAGACCGCGCAGCCCTCCTCCAAACCCTAAGCGCACACGATACATCCACAACCCACAAATATACGCTCTTCCTGCTCGTCCTTCCTCTACTCCCCATCCTCCTCTACATTCCCCGCCTATTCTCGCTTTCCACGTTCCTCCCCAGCATCGCCGCGATAGCAAGTTTCCTCGCCTCAGCATACACTCTGTACTTTCTCCCGCTCCCACCCAACAAAGGCGCGATAATCGACAACAACAACAACAACAACAACGCCGCGTCTGCGCGCAAAACGAAGAATAAACCCAGGATTGGGATCTACGACAAGACGCCTAGCTGGGAAAAGACGACGGAAAAGAGCGTGAGAAGGCCTGTGCCGTATATTTCGGAGACTACGGCGGATGCGATTGCGGATAATATTACTACGGTGAATCGGGCGCTATGTGGAATCCTCGCTCTATCTGAGGTCTGGATAGAACGAGACTGGAGCCAGGGGTTCATGGTGGGCGGGGGCTTCTTGCCCGGTCTCATTTGCTTCGTGGTATTATGGGCGAGGACAGAGTTGAGAATCATCGATATGGATGCGCTCGAGGAGCTGAACAACAAAGCTGCTGGACAATCTAAAGCCAAGTAGAAAAGAAAAAAAGAGTAATTTGGACATTTGCTTCATCATGATAAAACAGAGATACCCCATAACGCAATGTATTTCATGACAAAGATCCCCTCAAACAGAGACTTTCGTAGCTTTTGAAGAGAATAGCAAAAAAGAAAATGATATACATGCTGCAAGAACAAGCGACCAACATCCCGACATACAGGAGGCGGGTCTAGGTATCATATGCGCAAGGAAAAAAACGCCATCATCCAAGTCTAAGATCAGACCGTACCAACGCCATTCTGTTACCCAAATAACACATTGATGCCCACATTTTACATGCTGACTTCTTTTGGTCATTAAAGCATCATACTCTTCCTTCTGCTGGCAGCCCGCTCGGCTCGTAGTGCACTTGTCTCCCTTTCCCTGTCCCGCACTTTTGATTCGACGGCATCCTCCCCCCTTGTCTTGGGGCCATTAATGCCACCGCTATCGGGGAGCCCACCTGCAACAGCGAGCTTCTTGTCCTTCATGTCTATTGTTCGAGCATTCGATGTGCTCCTGGCCACACCGTTAGTACTCGAACTCCTTCCCAAGCTTGAAGTGCTACTACTTTTTGTAGTCCCGCTCCCAGTACGCTTGTGTAGCGAAGGAAGTGCGCCTTCTGTCTTTTCCCTCTCGGCTCTTCGCTCCTCAGATGTGGATGGAGCTCCTGGTGCAGGCATAGCGGAATGGCGACGCGCATTTCGGGCTGCTTTAGCGGCTTCGTTGACGCGTGTGCGCTGACTAGTTGCAGCTTCAGCAGGTGGAGAATCCGTGAAGTCGAAAACGGCCAGGCTATCCTTCTGCTGTGACTCTACCTTTACCGCAATCGTGTCTGCTGAAACAGGAACATCTTCAGCTTTCGCTGCAGTTGACTCTGTGGTAGATCTTGAAGCTGTAGAAGCCACTTTTCTTTTAGCAGTGCTTGTTTCGTTGATGAGTGCGGATATCGCCTTCGAAGTAGCTGATTGCTCTTCTGGCTCAGCTGATGCTTTCGAATCCTGATCTCGTCTATCCAGTTTTTGTCTTAGCGGACTTCCTGCCTCAGTCTCTTCCTCAGCTGCTCTTCCAGACACTGCAGACACGGGTTTCCAGGCAATCTCCCCGTTGGCTTCACGCTTGACAACCGTCGAAGGTGGGTTGTGAGATTCGACACTTGTCCGCCGATCAACCACTGCATCAACAAGCTTTGCATCTGGACGTCGCATCTTTACATTGAGGCTGGGCTCTTTGTAGCTAACCTGGGGACGTGCTCGTCGTCCCGGTCGCACAGCTTGCCCAGTTTGATCGGTTGAAGATAGATCACCTGGTGGTGGCGTATCTTTGTTCTCTGGCCTTTGGGTCGAGGGTTCGGTTGATGGTGGAGAAATGATGGCATCTGCAGCTGGTGTCTTAGGGGGTAGGGAGTCCAAAATGATATCAGCGGTAGGGACGGGCTCTGGTATGGGTATAGAAGGGAGGTCTGGCGTGCTATTCCGGGTAATGTTCAGTCGAGGGCGGCTACGAGATTTCGCAGTTGGCTTCTCTAGCTTTCCTGGTTTTTCTTGAGCTGAAGAGCGTTGTTTTTTCGGTGATACGACTGGGTCGGTGTTGACAGGTTCTACAATATTAGCTTTGCTCATAAGAAAGATATCACTATGCTTACTGGCTGAAAGGACTGGAAGGCGATCCAAGGTAGGGAGTCTCGGTTCTTCGTTGGATGTCTCAGTTTCTGCGGCATTCCGACGAGAAAACCTAAAGGCATCGCCCTTGGCTTGATTTGTATCCTCGTCTTCCTGAACGCTGAACTTGCGCTTAGCTCCTGTACGTAGAGGTTTTGCAGGTGCCTCTTCAGTTTCTTCCGGAGACTCAAAAACGGATACACGGCGTATGCTGAGCTTTGGCCCACTCTCTCGTCGCTTCTTACGCGTCTCGAGATTGACCGAAAGCGACGGCTCGCCATCCTCGACCGTCTCTTCTTGCGGCTCTTCTGCAACTGGGCTGGGATCAAATCCGATGGGATCCTCGGTATCGAACCGCGATATGGGGGGTGGGCCAATATCTGGCGATTGGCTATCAGGGTCTTCCAGCACTTGCTGAAGTTCATCCGCACTATACACGTTAGTAAAACTCAATGTGGAGATACGTAGCATCTACGTACCCCATGGTCCTTCGAGGATAAAATTTGTCCTCCGTGATTGTAGGCAGCATTGCATTCTCGACTTCTTGTAGTCCTAACCCACTCCTCCACTGCCTTTCCTCTCCACTTCTTCTCTTTGCTAGCAGCTGGCTTTTTCGCCTGCCTGCATCTTTCTCGCGTCCGTTCTTGGTCTGTGTTAGGCTTGCTACCAAGCCTCCAAGTTCCTGTAGCTTCGATTCAAGCTGCAGCTTGACAGCATCGATGTGGTCGAAAGCTGGACGCGACTCGACTGTATTATGAAGGCTGAGCACCTGCTCGCGCAGTGCCAGATTTTCAGCGAGGAGTCGCGAGCAATCGTTCTCGAGGCTGCGGATACGTATGGATTGGGTCGAGTTTGTCTTTGCCAGTTCGCGGTTTTGTCTGAGAAAGCGTCGTTTCACGGCTTCGATGGTTTCCGCCGATGGCTGATTTGCTATCGGCGGCTCGTTGAGTCGCGCCATTTGCGCAGATAGGTATTTCGATGGTAACTATATTATTAGGAGACAATCGCGTCGTCGTGGTGGGCGGGATGCTGTACGTCGTGAGTCGTGGCTGCCGGTTCGTCATACTGTTTGTTGACAACTCGAGCGGCGGGCCCACAGCAACAGGGGCTAAACCGAAATGGGCAAGACGAAAACATGATCACATGACTAGAGGGGCAACGGCGCCTCTCCATACAGGCAATACATCGTCGACGACAGTGAGTCTTGTGAAACAGTCCAGACATATTCTGGTAGAATTTTGCCATAACCTGCAATCGAAGAAGAGAAGCTCTTATATCTACACATCAGGAACACCATATTGTAACAATATCCGCACCTCTTTCGCAACGACAACATCTTCAAAAGACGATTAAACAAAGAATTGGACCCGATTCACTGATAGAATGTCGAATTTTGGACGCCCTCTCCCTTCGCACCTGCGTAATCAGTCTTTGGGGGGCTCACAACAGCAATCACCGGTCTTACTCGCCCGCATCGCGGAAAAGAAAGCCGAACTTGCGAACCTGAAAGACCTGCAAGCTCTTAGTGGAGGACTCGCGGACCAAATGCAGATGCTAGCTGACAAGCTCTCGACATTGTCTGATGGCACAGAAGGTATGTTTAAATTGCCCTTTTACGGATTTGCGCATGCGGATAATGGGTAAGCATCATGGAGAAGTCAGGCTGACATTTGGGGCGCAGCGGTTGCAGCAGTACTGTCGAATTGGCACAACGTATTAAGGGCTATCAATATGGCGTCGAGTAAGTTACCATGCCGTATGCGTGATTCTATCTTGGTCTGACCAATGACAGCAAAACTGCCAAAGCCAAAGGATGAGGAGGAAGTAGAAAAGAAATCGGAAGATGGACCACCTCTGCCGCAGACACTTGTTCGCATTCCCACTCAGCACGCGCCCACGGTAATTGAGCAAGCCAACGCAGCAAATGCAGAGGAGTGAATCCGCGTACGGGATGTAGACATGTGCTGGCACGGCGTCTCTTCTGCGCTAAAGAATGTGGTGGGAAGGATGTGAAAGGAGGTGTGGTGAGGCATGAGTGCACGATCGGACTCGAGATGAGACTGATGTCCGATTCGCGGAACACGGCGTATGAGGGTGGTCGAGCAATGTTCCAATACGTGCATATGCAGTCGAGCCCAACACCCATTGAGATTGCTTTTCCCGCTGGTATGCTGGAAGCGAGCTAAGTCACGGGACCTGACATGCGTAAAGGGCCAAAAAGGACGTCACCGCCAAGGTAGGAAAAAGGAAGAAGCAGGAATGGTGGATGCCTGAAACACAAGCGCTACTGGGAATTGTTTGTGAGCTTGCATATGAGATTGTAAAGTGCTTGAAAATTCATTGGCAAGTATAGGCCTTGTTACATAACGCCGTAATGCGTCTACAATCTAGCATCCAAGTTTTGCAGACTTCCAAAGTCCAATATCCCATGCTATGCAATAACGCAGTCTCAATCAAATTGTACCGATCGGACATGCCAAAACTCCGCGCGAAAACAAACCCCACAGAAACAATGAAAATCGTGTTCAGTTCGTATGCGCCGAAGCCAGGTGCAGCACCGTGAGCGCATCAATTGAGGCGCTGTAACAGTCTACTTCTTCTGCTTCGGCATCTTCTCGTAAGCATTCGGGCTAGGCTTCCTCCGCTGCCTCTTTGTTTTTTGTGGCTGGTCCGAGCCCTCATTACATCCGTGATTTTCTGCGCATCCGTCGTGGTCGTGCTGGTGTAGCCGCCTTCCCCGCGCGGCACCAATCCTGCCGGCGGGCCTGGCGGTACTGTTGTCAGGTTCGGAGTCTGAGTCCGAGTCCGATGAAGAGGAATCCGAAGAGTCGTCGTCAGAAGACTCATCCACAGCGCGAGGTTTGTGATAGATGCAACAGACTGGTTCAGATGTTAGAGGGTCTAGCAGCAAAAAATGACGTGGCGCAGCTTGTAGTACCTTTGGACGACTTCTTGCCCATGCCTTCGTTGTCCACCACGTCCTCTGCCCACTGAATGTGTCGTCGCTCGGTAGGCTCTGCTCGCAGACGGAGCACGCCTGATGGAGCAGACAGGCGCAAGACGGGCTGAGGACGGATCTGTATTGTCCTGCTTCCAGCGCTTGGTGTCACAGTACGGGGTGACGTAGTACGTTGGTGGGCGGCCATGTTGTTGGAGTGCGCAATGTTGGGTTGAAAGTGAATTCAGGGAACGGGACCCTCGAAGAAGCGGTGTTGCGGGCAGCAGGCGGGGTGATTGTTATGGAGCTACGCAGGGACCAAAACGAATCGCGAATTGCCGTGTTGAGGATGAAAGGCTGACGGGGTCCAACGTCGATATTTGAGCAAAGAATCGGCGATGGGATCCAGGGATGAGGCGACGAGTAAAGAAGGAAGGGGTGTGGTTTGGTATTATCGGTACCAGGTCAAGGTCGTGTGCATGTACGTCTTCGCTGGCTGACGATGATTTGCCTCGTGATGGTAGAAGGCTGGTTGGTGCGTCATTAGCAATCGGCACCTTTTTCGGCTCATCCTTCCCTCTGCGCATCCGGGGATTGGCCCACGATCGCCCGCGTCACCCTCCCATCGTCTTCTCCACGAGAGGTGCAGCATGCACGCCAACCGGAGCCCACACGAGCCCACACCTTGATCTAGGTCACGTTGCATATTCATGGCAGCAGCGCATCTCCTAGCCTGCGCACTTGGCGCGCTTGCGCTGCACGCAATAGCACTGCGAGAACACCTTGCCGAAGCGCTGTCAGGGCCAAAAAGATTCATCGGGTGCTATCGTGGCCGCTGCCCACGCAAATACTTCTGGCCAATGCGAAGCAGGGCTGGTCGCAAGCACAGGGTCTGGGCCAAAGTCACCGGAACCGTTGAATGTCGACATGGCCCAGAACGTCAGTCTGGAAACGTCACAATGGAAAGGTGCTGGCGGGGTTCCACCTAGAACACGTCCTGTCCTCGACTGAGTATAAGTAAGAAGCAGCACCAATCATTCCAAATGGATTTTGCTCCCTCCCCCTTGGAACATGACGATGCACAATGCCAGGCCTCTGACTTCGCAACGCGACCAATGCCACTCGGTACCGGATGACCGGATGACCGGACATTCACCCCACAATATGCCACATGAACACCGGCATAACTACGTATTTGGCTGGGACGAGACCGCTGCACCGACATCTGTAACCGAGACCTCGAAGTGTCGAGCGCTCTGTGTTGGCGATGCAAGTAGACCTTCACAAGTAGGTCAATGCCAATGACGCTGCTGCAAACACGTACGCATAAAACCAATCTCCATACATGCGCACAATGGACACAAGAGCTGGTGCTATCAAAGTTCATATTCCACTGCATTGGCTCGTATATGTAAAGACTCGGTGTTTGCCAAGCCGACTCGCACAGTGCAGCCGGTGAGCGTCTCCACCTACAACCAAAGCAATGTCCTGATCTCAAAGCCTTTGGACACTCAGGAGGTGGCTTTGCTCCATCTCGTGGCACCCTAGGGCCTGGATGCACTACCCCTCGATCCACGATACATATCAAGATACAAAGCCCTGTCCTGCTGGCCGTATAAACCTTGAACATTGGGTGTACAGATGCGTAGACGCGGGAAACCCGCGCAATGCCTGGGATTGTCATGGTCATGAGCTATAGAAAAGAGCCAAACACACGGCAGTATACCACCGAGATGCATTGGCAGCCTAATGGTGAGGGGAAGAAAAATCAGATTGAAAAGTCCGGGGGGCCATAAACGGACGCGGTAAATAAGTAGTGATGCTTGTGCCAATACTCGGATGATGGCGAGGGTCCCCCAGCATCAACAATGACCTCAGCTCAGCCCATCGGAAAGGCCGCGTGCAAGCGAAGAATGGGACCATGATGAAGGAAGCCTCGTTATGCTAGGAACCATGAGCGGATCAAACGGGAGCAGCCTAAGTATGCAAGCTGTCAAAGAACAAGTAATTTCACAGATATGAAGGGATGCTGCACGGCGATCATGGGTGGCGGTGAGCGAGATGAGCGGCTCCTTGAGCAGCTCACCAGCCTCAACAGTTGTCTGGCAGCAGACGAGTAGTGCAAAAGGCGCCATGAGTCGTTGGCAATACATAAGCGTCTGGAGGGTAGTGCCTGGACGCGTCATTGTGAACGGGCAGAAGGGGGTGGCATTGCAATATACTACTACATAGGCGGGTGGAATAGCAGGCACAATCTTGATGAGTGGACTACTGATAAGCGGCATCGGGGATAGCCCGAAAGCAGCGGACGACTCCACCACATGTCGTGCAGTACGTATCTGTGCGCCCGGCCGCTTTCTGAGCGGAAATGAAGAAAGCGTGGAGCACCGCAGCCTAGGCCGGCGTGGACTATGCCGGGCCGTGGGAAAAGGAGTGGAACAGATTTTCACGGAGGCGGCGGGTGTTGGTGGTGTTGGTGGTGGTGGTGGTGGTGGCGGCGGCGGTGGAGAAGCATGCAAAAAATGGAACGGCAGAGCGGACCAAAGGCAGAGAGAAGGAGGAGGTAATAAGCACTTCGTCCGCTGATGGGTGCAACGATGACAGTGCTATTCACAGCGACGGCGGATCCAGAATTGGGTTCAGGGGGCTGTGGACGGGTCGAGAGGTGCTGTATGGTCTGGAGCGGACAGGGCCAGTCCTAGTCGCCAATCTGCTGTTCTCGGATACTGGCCAATCAAGATAGGCGCCTAAAAGGGTTCCTGCATTAGCAGCGCCGCATCGGGCGTAGAGGCGCCGCATGGAGCGATCAGCACGCAGCCAGAGCAAACGGTCGCGGTGGTTTTCTCCTGGATGCGCTTAGGGGGGGTGTGCGGCGCCAGAAGGCCGTCTGCCACCCGTACGACGACGGCTTCTATCGATTGCGACGAAGTGGCCACGACAGAGGCAGCGCGGGCAGTGGCCGTGCCGCGCAAGAGCGGTTGTGTCGCATGCAATTAGCAACATCAAACAGCTTGGCCCGCGCTAGAACAGGAACCCTGCGCTGTCCCTCTCGTTATTCGGCTTAACACGTCCTCTCCCCCCTGCACGGCTTGGGACATGGGCCAATGAGGCTCCCTGTATGCCACCGCCCGCCATCGAGCTCCTGTGCGGCGCCTCATCTACTCTTCGCGCCCATCCGCCTTCTTTCCTTCAACCTCACCTCTCCGTGGGCCAGTCACTCTTTCAGTCCTCGTACTCCCCCTCTACACCAACGCTCGCTGCTCCGTTGCATCTTACCCCAGTCATTCTTTTTTCTTTTGGGCTCGAGATCGTTTGGTCGTATCCTTACGCTACCGCCTTCGCCTACTGCCGTGCTTTCGCTCCCTACCCGCACCCGCACCCGCATTACATGTACACTCCGTTGATCAGCAGTCACGACTGACTTACGACCTTACGTTGTTAATACATACATTTTAAATCTCCAAAACTACCTCGCATCCGCGACCCCGTCACGCATCACCAACCGTTCGGGTACATCATTACCATTCCTGGTTACGATATTGTATGAGACAGGGGCTTTGCAACCATGCCGCACTCACATCACCAACACATGCTCCACCATGTGCGCGACAACACACACCACTTGGGATCTCCCTCCAGCGGCGCTACCCGAACTCTCCAACTCATTGAAAGAGCGAACCCCGTTCTTGTCGCACGCGAAACCATCGAATGCACAAGCAGCAGCGAGCCCGGCTGCACAAAGCCAACCCAGGTGCCTATGCTGGCTATCGCACTAGCTATCGTGTATGTAATACACTGTCATCTCGCCGACTCCGCTGACCATGTCTAGTGTTCCTGTCGTTGGTATCGCTGTTGTACTCGCCTTCTTACATCGTCGCAACAAGCAAAAGCTTAGGGAGGAGGATCAGAGAGACAAGTACAAATCGCACGATTGGGGTATGGAAGGCGTCACACCCAAGGTGGGTAGAAAGGGTGGCCCTGAAATGAGCATCTCTGAGAAGGAAATCTCTGGAGGTCACGACCGCGGTCTGTCAATTGAAACTGGAAGTCCATACATCCTGCCCCCTGGTCTACACGGCTCTCGCGAGTCGTTCCACTCGCTTTCGCGCTCGCAGCACGACCCCCATGACCCCTACGGCCCAGTCGCTTTCTTGAGGGATGACCAGAGCCTTCGTAGCCAGAGCCATGGACCATACAAGGGCGAAACCAACTCCGTATACACCGCGTCCAGCTCAGGAACAAAGAAGGAAGGTCTCCAGGCTGGTCTCCTCCAGAATGCGCAAAGAATGTCGACATCCGTCCCAGTCCGCGGCGAGTCTCTGTCTCCTGATAGCACCAGGTCACCGGATAGCAAGTTTCCCGAGGCAGGAATTCCCCTCAGCCCGCTGAACCCACGATATGAACCTGAAGCCCCTGCTGCCGCTCCCGCTCCTGCTCCCGCCCCTGCCCATGCTGCTCCCGTCGCCTCCAAGCCTACCAACGTCCCGACCATCTCTATTCCTGAGCCCCCCGTCACCGAGAAACAAGTCAACAAGTCGCCTGTCCAGACCACGAACGAGATTCCCTCATTGCCCCGTATCCAGTCGCAAGCCGTTGTACTAGAGACCGCCAACACACACCACAGCATCATCAGCACTTCCAGCTACGGCGATGGCTTCGAGATCACACCGCCTTCTCCTCGCAACAGCGACCAGCCAACCATTGCAGCGCCCAAGCCCCGATACTCGACTGGCCCCCAGAACCTTGGCCTCGGAGTCGATGACTTTGGTCACAGCAACAACCGTCTGTCAATGAGCCTGCGTCCTATGCCCTCTGAAGACCCCATGGAGAACCCAGAAGAGCGTGCCAACCGTATCCGATCTTTCTACAAGGAATACTTTGACGACTCCAAGCCCGAACCTGCTGGTGGACACCAATACGCCGACTACGTCGAGGACTATGGTTCTGAATACCAGGACGGTACTGTGTTTGATCCACGCACGGGTAACTTCGTCGTTGCCCAGCCCAACGCGCCGTTTGCTGAGCCGATCACTCGTCGTGCCATGACTCCTCCACCTCGCGCACCTCCTCGATTCCGTAGCAACACAGCTACGGGTCCACGCGGTCCTCACATGTCCAACGGTTCCATGGCTTCATCACAATACCAACCCCCTCGTGGCATGTCGTCTATGAGCGGCCGTCTACCCCCACCAATGAAGAAGCCCCTGCCACCACCCGCCGCTCTCTCGTCTCTGCCAACCCCTGCCAAGCTCAACGAGAACTCGATGGTGTTTGATGCTGCGGACTTTGCGCCACCAGTTTCTTTCCGCGAGAGACAAAACGGCATGCGACCCGACAGTCCTCTTGGTAACGCAAGGCCGTACAGCCCTTCTGTTCGCCCACACACGCCACTTGTCGGTTCCTATGATGAACTCCCAGTGCTGCCCAGTCCCCATCTGATGCGCAAGTCTGGTACCTTCACTGCCCTTGACTTTGCTCCACCCGGCCGTATCCGCGACCCTGCCGGTGCCGGCTCAGACGCCGGATCCATCCGCTCGAACCGCTCTGGCATCTCAGCCGCTGGTCGATTTGCAGTGCGCAGTGGAGCCAACCGCGTCAGCAGGATACCACGAGAAATCATGGGTACCAAAGATGACATTGCTCTGCAACTGAGGCCCAGGATGAACTTGGTCGAGAGTGCCTAAAGACATGGCGGCCTTGCCGCAGGGCATTGTTGATGACTGACATTGAGCAGCTCGCTGGAAGAGCTTTGGGCCCCGTTGCCTGTACCAAACGCCAAAAGCTTGTGACGTCAAGTTTCTTTTTTGCTTGGACAGTATGCCATTTTGGGTGTACACGACAAATCTTATCGGTATCGTGGGACAAATATAGCGTGCGCTGGCTATACACACAGTGTCGTCTCCCAGTCTTTGTTGCTACAAGGGACATGCAAAGCCTCTTTTGTTTACTATTTCTCCATCGCGGTCATTGCCAGACCGGCAGATTATACTCATTTTCTAGGGCAATTCAGCGAGGGAACCGGCGTTACCAATGTCTAATTTATATTCTTGTAAGCAGCAGTTGGGGAGGAGAGAGTTGGAGCAAGTGGTGGCTTGGTGATTGACAGCACGGTGACCAAGGCCGTGTGTCGACGTGTGAAATATTCGAGCAAAACATATAGAGGAATGGAAAGCAAGAGGTATTTGAAAAAAAAAAATCCAAGGATGTGCACTGGTTTGTTTGCTATTGAGTGAAGTGTGAAGTGGGTATTGAGAGTACACGACAAATAATGTGGGTGATGTTACTGTTGTTTGGTTGAGTGGATGTCATGCTGGGGTGTGGGAGGGCCAAGGTCGGCAGCGTTTCTAGCCCCTGTCGTGGCATTCTTCCGCGGCCCTTTGACGAGGCTGACGATCAACGCGGCTCTGCGCCAGTGCCAGTCTTACCAGGCCACCTGCAGACTCTATTTGCACTGCACCTTGTTTGCATGTGGCTGCAGACACAGCCACAAAAGAGCCGCCCTTGTTTTATTGTCTGCTCGTATCTAGGTAGTACGTTACTCGGGGCCAAAAAAACCAGGGCAACCGGAGGAGCCAGCCGCGTGTGCACCGCACCCTAAGTAGTTTGCATACGCGGCCACGACAGTGCTAAACAGGTGTCGACGCCGGTGCTTCAGCCAGAACGTCGTGTCGTGTCGAGACCAGTGCATGCCATTCTCTTGTCGAGCCCGCCCAATCCATGACGCCTGTGTGGCTCGCGCCTGCGTCTAATTCTGTTTTTGGCGCCTTGTACGTCATGGCTTAAGATCTTCGGAAAGGGTCCATAAAACTCGCCAGTGCTGCTGCAGCACACGCGTATGAGGTTGTGTCTGGTCCTGGCCGACTTTTCTCTTGGGCCTTCTTATTGGGCTTCGCTATACTTGACCGCTCGGTTTCACCATTTCTTCCCCCATTCCTCAACTTTTTGGCTTCTTGCATTGTTTCGTCGTGCTTTCTGGTTCTCCTCCCTCTTTGCAGTCAACACACCCTTCCCACTACACGCGCCACACCCGTCCGCCACACCTGCTGCAACCCTTCCACCATCATCATGCCATTCTTCTCTCGCAAGCGCACATCAGATAACACACCTGCAGAGCCTGTTCCCGAGCTCAGTAGAGAGCAAATCAAGCTCGCAACTCGCAGGCGCAAAAGATGGGCGCTGGCAACCTCCTTTTTCCTCTTCCTCACCTTCATCTTCCTCATCCTTGTCAATATCGCCGGCGTACGCAACAAGCCCGTCATCAGAAACTGGTACTTTATTCGCCTCGACCTGAGTAAAATTGTACCCGCTAGCGTGCCCAATTTCGCTCTCATCAACACCATCGCCCAAACGCTGGGTCTCCATGATTTCTACCAGGTCGGGTTATGGGGCTTCTGCTCGGGGTACAAGGGCCAGGGCGTAACCTTTTGCAGCAAGCCGACGACCCTGTATTGGTTCAACCCCGTCGAGATTTTGCGTAACGAGCTGCTTGCGGGAGCGTCGAGTAAGTTGGCCTACGTTGTTGCGAGCCCGGTTGCGAACTAACATTGTCCACTAGTCAATCTTCCTGCAAACATCAACGACATCTTGGACCTGATTCACCTCGTCTCCAACTGGATGTTTGGTCTCTTCCTGACCGCCACTGTCCTCTCTTTCGTCCTCATCTTCGTCATGCCCATCTCCGTCTACACACGCTGGCTCACTCTCCCTGTCGCCATTCTCGCCTTCCTCAACGCCCTCTTCGTCACCGTCGCGTCGGTCATCGCTACCGTCATGTTTGTCATCTTTCACAACACTATCACTGGCGTGTCAGAGCTCAACATCGGGGCACAGATTGGGACAACACTATTCGCCTTCATGTGGGTAGCCAGCGCCTTTGCGATTTTCGCATGGCTTGTGCAGACGGGGCTTTGCTGCTGTTGCGCGTCGAGACGAGACGTTAAGAAGGGCAAGAAAAGAGGTAACGAAGAAGCGTACCAGATGGACGCTGTCCCGGTAACCGAAAAAGCACCAAAGAAGAAATACGAGTTTTGGAAGCGCGGATAGAGTCCGTTTCTTTACTCGACCACCATTGTAGACGACCGTTTTCCTACAAATATTACTACCATACAAATAGACACATGGACATGGATATTGTCAACGAAACAAAAAGATTAAGCGTAGATCATAGCTATTCTCTCAACTGGGTCATTGATGACGACCAGTAGTTTGGACCTCCAAAACATTGGCTTTCCTTTTTTTTTCCAAAGCGAGCGCGGCGTTGGGGGTTTTTTTTCTTTGGGCAAATCTTTCCAACATGGCAATGCATAGTGCGGCGCAACAATGGGCGATTTTGCATGCGAGCATGACACACACATACACACCCCAGCATGAACATATCTCTAACTGTGAATATATACGGACTTATATATGCAAAGAAAAGCATAATGAATATCTTTACGTAGCAATAGTCTCCATCTTGATTGTTTCGTCCACCTGTCTTTAGAATTCCCAATTGAGTGAAGTTCCCTGAGAGACATCAATCACCCAGTTTAACACATCACTCAAGTCGTATCATCAACATCACTTGAAGCACACAAGAAAACCAAAAGTTTTCATGTATAAAATCCATTCTCCCCCATTCTCTACATATCCCCATTTCCCCTATCCCTCTTACCCCCCCTTCACCTCTCCCTATCCTCATACCAATCCCTCCCCTCCTTATTTCCAAACACCCTCCTAAACCCCTTGGCCACCGCCCCCGTAACACTAAAATCATTGAAAAGCCACTGATTCCCATGGCGCCCATAGTACTTGAACTGCGCCGGCTCCTCTCGTTCCTTCCTTGCATGGCTACCGCTCGTGCTGCTGCTGCTACTCTCCATAGTGTGTCTGCGACTTCGCTTGGGGACGCGTGGTTTGCTGAAGTCACCAGGGGCGATGCCAACGCTCTCCGGGTGCAGTCTGCTGCTGGGCAAGGCGTGGAGGCGCGAGGAAGTGCTCGACGTGTGCGAGTCGAAGGTGGAGATTGTGGAGGATTTGGTGAAGGGGCGTGTGTTGGTGCTATCAAGGGAGGGTCGGAGACGTCGTTGGGTGGATCCATGGTCGTTGGTTTCGGTGTTGGTGTTTGCGATGACAGCGAGGCGGGAGTGCAGGGCTCGCGCGTCGATGGATTGGTGGTGCGAGGAGTCTGTCATCGGCAGGGATGTTGGAGATTTCGTGGAAAAAGTCGTTGCGGTGTTGAGCTGGGGGATGAGGGAGTGTGGCTGATTGGTGTCCCAGTGATAGTAGTGGTGTTGGTCTCGAGAAGGTATGTAGTATTCTTCTTCTTCTGATGAAGGTGACGTAGAGTAAATGCTGGTAGTAGTAGTTGGATAGTATGGCATAGATTATGTGTGAGATGATTCACTCAGTAAGAAATCTTCTGAATATCAGGGTATCACCCAAGCTATATATGCTCCATCCATCCCCATCCGCCAAGCCGCGGTATCGTCCTTCATCGTACGCCAGAAGCATAAACCCTACCACATCCAAGCGTCTTGGGGTGGGGAAATGCAAGTAAAAAAAGGACTTAACTCACCGGGTTTCCGCACAGCGTACATGACTTACATGTAATGGTTCATTCCTCCTTGTCTAACCCAACCACACGCGGTATCCCACACCCATAACCCACATTAACCCCTGCCCACGGGTTCAGCAGACGTAGCCGCAAACGCTTTGATCAAGTCGGGTAGACCGCAACACGAGACCACATGACCATGTTTTCGCCCTCAATGTGCAATGAGGTGCTGCAAATCTGCCTTACTGGGTCGAGTCGGAAAACCGGCAGCGCAACCCTTGCCCGGGACGATAGCCCGTGCACCAGCCACAAGTACGCCACACCCAATCCGGGGCAGCGAGCAGGCCTAATGGATGCAAGGCCGCGAGGCGTCAACTGCAGCAATGACATCAACCCGCCGTTTTGCCTTTACGCGCGTATACTACAAACTTTTTGTGCATGCCGTGTTTTCCGGCTATACCGCCAACAGGTCTAGCTGTGGCTTGTGAGCGTATACGCCAAGAGACGCTCGAGCGGGTCTGAATGACGTGGCTTCAACGCGGGAAACAAGAGGCTCGGGGTCGGAAGTGCAAAGCCACATGAGGCTCACTTGCAGAGATGTGGGCACCCTAAAGAAAAGCCTAGATGATCCAAGCTCAGGGTAGAGGGAGATATAGTGGAGACGGCCGATGCCTTATAGATGGCTATCGAAAAAGAAAAAGAAACATCGCTGCGTTGGTCTCTACACAGGGAGAAAGCAAAAAGCCGCATGGGTATACCAGTATCAAAACACCTTTGAGCGCCGCGCATTGAACTTTTTACGACTCAATCAAACACCCGGGACACCATCCTTACTTCGTATCCGCCCATCTTTGACTGATCCTATCGTGATGCCTGCCTCGCCAGTCATCCAACCAGGCATCTTTTCGCCGTCTACAATGCCTTCTTCAACCAATTGCCTCATGCCGGCAAAGACGTGGATGCCTTGAAACGTAATCCGCACATTAGGCACCCATCCTTCTTCATTCCCAATCTCCTCCAGATCTTCCTCGGTCCTCTCAAGGAGCGAAGGACGACCACGCCGTGTGCGATTTGCTATTTGAACTCCACGATTGGACGTTTCACCGTCAGCTTGTGTACTGCTGTCATTGTTTGAAGTGGCTGGGAACGGGTCGTCGATCCGAATCTCGACTCGTTCAAGACCTTGCCCATCGTCTGGCTGGGCAGAGGTACCAAACCGGCCAGCAGCCACCTCTTTCCGCCGTTTGGACTCTGAGGGCTCCTTTTCGTCTAACGGTCTCTTGGGTCTTCCTGGGACAGCCTTTTCCGCGTTGGCCTTGTCACTTGAAGACTTGTCATGCTTGTCGCCTTTTTGCGTAGTGATAAAGTCTAAAGCATTCTGACTAAAACTATGATCCTGAAAAATGCTCCAGCCACCTGCTGCGGCATTGCTTTTACCAGGCCCACGATATGTCAATAATGCGTCAAGCGACTTGGTTGTGAAATTGGTGCCGGTTAATTGGTAGCGCGCAGAAGGTCTTGAAAAGGCTTTGGGTATTGCCTGCTGTACAATCTCCCTAAGATGCCGCCCATCGTCACCAACGACCTGGCCAGTAAGTGTTGCCAGTGACGAGTATACAAAAGGCGAGCCATTGGGCCAGACGAAGAAGACCGCTTTGGCCTGGTCGGTATTGCTCGATTCAACTGCCAGCGATGCCTCGTTGCTATACGGCGAATCGTGTATATAGACCCGAAGTATTGTCATGGGTGAAGTTTTTATTCGTGTGATAAGGTAGTGGGCTTTCATCAGCGGTGTCAGTTCTCTCGCGAGATTCGACATGAAAGTTTGCGCTTGGAACCGGGGAAGGTGGTCAGAGTCGTTTGTGACCTCCATGTCTGTCACTGGCAATCGCGCATTCGGTATCTTTGTGAGGCGCTTCGCTGTCCAGCGCAAGGCATTGGGATGATCGAGAAGGTACTGTATCTCTGCTGTGGCCAGTTGGTACATAGATATACCGTGTCTCCAATCTCCCTCGAGTATGCGATCCAGGACCTCTCTCCTGCCACCTTTGCGTGCAGCCAGCTGCTTGTAGATCTCCTGAAGCACCTCATAGCTTTGCGCCGGCTCATATATTTCCTCTTCATCTTCTTTCGTCCGCTCATCCAGAAGAAAAGGCTTGCAAAAGTCACGATTCTTTTTACTGAGCCATTGTAGTGCGAGCGATATGAGCGATTGGCGGGAGAGCTTGGTAAAGGTGCGCTGGACTTCGCGGTGGTTTACGGGTAGACGGTGCGAGTGCGGGATATTCTTGTAGTCCGGGGCGGCAGCCATTGCATCTGTGCTTTTCTCGTCGGCATGGGAGGGGTCAAGATTGTTGTTGATGGTAGAAGCGTTTATCGATAATATCCAGGGAGGGAGTCGCGCTCAGGCGGTCAGACGCGTTAACCCTGCTGCCACGTGACGTCCTCAGTTGTGTGTAAGAATGTACGCAAGTAATGCTATACTCACACCAACACACTTTGAAGAGAACAAGTGTCTGTAATTGTTTAAGTTCCGAGCTGATATGTAAACATACATTTTGATTATCTGCATGCGCAGCCATGCTGCAGGAACATATCATGAAGCTTATAAAGCAGCTCTCAAGTATGTGGTTTTGACCACAACCAGAATGATCAAACTACGTATTCGCTCCATCATCTCTCTGCTACTACGTACTGTACTTTTGAAACGCTGCTGAGCTCAAGCGCTTTTGCCAAAGTTTGTGCCTCGCTGATTTTAGATAATCATGTAGCGTAACAGCCGTGTGGCAAGCGCTTTGTTCCAACACGCAACGTACTACTACAAAAGCAGTATATATATACGACGTTAGCCCCGCATAAGCTTCAAGCTGACCAATATATTTTACTACTGCAGAACAATGGGTTACTTTCCAGAAGTGTGTGTGAAAACAGACCTAACGCAGTACCTAGCCGTCATAATGACCCGGTCTACACCGTGAGCAGGTCGATAGACATGTGCAATTCGAAGAGTCCCGTCCTCTTGACTCCCCTGCTATATGTAGGTGTAGTACATGCATCTAAATAATGTGCTCAAACTCTGGCACTTATCCGGTAGTTCTTCGGTATGGCGGGCGTATAAGTGATCATTTCTACCCTTTTTTCTAACCACATACTACAATGTGTGCAAGGGTCCAGGGTGATACCGCTGCTGCATGTGAATCTGCCGATGGATTACCGCCGTGAATCGATGGAGAAAAATCGGGTGGAACCGAGTGGCCGCCTGATTAGTAGGCGGTTAGCGCGATGGTCGTTGATTACAAATTCACAGCTCTGAGTAATCCAAAAGTCAACGAAAGGGCGCAAAGGGCAGCATAAGCCTGTTGGTATGAGAATATGACATGACCTCGCAAGTGTGAAAAGAGAGTGTTCTTCCATTGCGTACATGTGTCTTTTAGGTTTGGATATACGAGCGTCGCGATTAATTCCGAGGTGTGGTGCTCCAACCCGCACGTGGGGAGGTTCTCTCGGCCATACTCCGGCTGCGCCCATTTTTCCAACCGCCTAACACAGTAACTAGAAATTCCTCCGCGGGGGGATGTGGAGGTTCTCTAACGCCCTGCGTATTTCGGCAATCATCAAACGTCACCACTACTCTCTCACACACAGCCCTCTCTTTTCTTTTTGCGCATTTTCGAGAGTTTCTTGTGGAAACTTTTGCATACATCGAGAACCAGCGGGTCACTGCGAAGAACATCATCCCAAGGCCGCCCAATTTCGCTCAAAGCGGAGCCAGAAGCGTAATCGGACCCGCTATCCCTCAACACGGGTTTGGCCGTCGAAAACCCCCCCCTTCCGAAGCCCACCCCCAGTTGTACCGATCATAGACTCTTGCAACTTCATCCTCCCCATCTCCATTTCGACTGGAAACACGATAAAACGCTCATGTCATCCTACAAGGGGCAGCGAGGGCCCAACGTGTCCCAGTACATCGCGACGCTCAACCAGCCATCGCCTCAGCAGGACCTGCTCGCCGATCCAGCGCCAGCAGAAGACTTCTCCGACTTCCTCAACGCCGACTTCTTCGACGTCAGCAACGCCCGCCACCCCAGCGTCGACTTCGGAAACGCAGGCAACTTCGATCTCAATCTCGACAACCAGTCATCACAGCCATTGAAGAGTCCCGAGGGATTTCAACCTGCCGCGAGCGCAAGCATGGATTTCAACTTGAATGGTAAGTGTGTGTCTCGTTGCTATTGTTCACATTGTCATTTTCTGTCGCAATGGGCTGGACCCTCGTCGAGGAAGGGCCGTTGCAGCTGCCATATAGTGGTCTGCAACACGCCGTCCAATGGCAGGCTGAAGAGACACAAGCCGACTCCAACCCCGCCCTGCTGTGTTGCCTGCATTGTCACCCCCACACTATGCAAATTAGCCAGTCAGCGGACGGTATGGCTATGCAGCCCTGCTGCTAAGCATGGTTTCAAGCACGCAACGCTGCCTGGGCTGCGTGAGACGGGACATTTACCTTGCGCCCTCCACACGCTACTTGGTGGTCTATCTTGTTGAGCCATGACTGACCTCGATCTGCTTGTAGGCGACTTCCCCTTCACCGACTTCAACAACTTCCCTACCAATGCCGCCTTTGATTCGGCCCTGCCGCTCGCACACGGTCAGCCCAACCACTACCCGCTGGCCCCCGGATTCGCCTCACCCAACGCATCTCTATCACCAATCACACCAGGCTACGATCAAGCATCCAAGAAGCGCAAGCTCGACAATGTCTCACCCGTGATGCCGCAGTCACTCGACGAGAACGCTCGCATCGCCGCAGAAGAAGACAAGCGCCGC